CAGGATCTTAAGAGATATAAACTGTTAATCATCAAGTTAATTGTCAAGCGTGAAAATTCCTTTTGAAGTTCGTGTTTATTTTAAAATTTTTATATTCTGTTTAATAAAAGATTGTATTGAAATTTAATATATTTTTTAAGTATTCTATCTTATCGTTGGTTAATATCTAAAAAAAAACACAAATTATTTCTGTATAACCTGGTTTTGTATGGAGACACTCCACCTGACAACTGTCATCTGTATCCATGAAATTTTCTCATTTCAAATACTCGGGATTCATGGTAAATTCCAGATTTGAAAATGCATCTTTAACTTTAAACCGTAACTCGACCTAACCACATTTAAATAATTTACATGGCTGCTATGTCCATCTTATCTATCAGTTTTTGCCTCTAATTGTTTTTCATCACTTCCGTTACTATGCCTGTATTATTGAGCGTCAGATTTGAAGTAATACAAAGAAATTTTACACTTACAAATGTTTAAATGATTTTAAAATTGACTTATAGACAATAACTCTAATTTTTTGCCAAATTATTTGAGTATATCCCGGTTTAGGTCGGATTATGGTGCTTTATAATCCGGATTATTATTAATCGTTACCTAACCAACACTGGGTTATAATTTAGCCAAGAATTTAAGTCATTCCAAAAATAACTTCTAGAGTTCATTTTCTTCTTTTATAAATGTAACAAAAGCACAACTACAAAAAGTACATACGGATCTGCTAGGTCATATTTTTATTACATTGAACAAAACACAATATTAATTCGAAAAAAAAAAATTATGAATTGCATTGTTGATTAAGAATACTATTATTGATATAATTACTCAACCTTGCAACAGATAGACCACCTATATATACTTTCAACGTTTAAAGAACGCCGTGTCCTACTTTGATTGTTACTAATTTGATTCAGTAGTAAGAGTAGTAGTTTAAACTATTATTAAGTATTTATACCCTCTTCCTACAATGAAACAAATTTTAACTAATACACACTGAACTAAATATCATCAGGGAAATATACTTCTTCTTTTAGATGAACAGGAACTGTTTAATTGGATTATTATCTTAATATAGTAATATTCACAATTCGACAAAGATTCTTTAGATTTTAGAATTCCATTTTATTTGTTTTTTACTAACAACACGTGTCTTCACGCATAAGTCTGTATTCATAACTGTACAAAGTATTTTTCCTGTCATTCAAACTCTATAAGTAAATTGTCACATTTACTCTACATATATGTTTTTCTTTGTATACTACTCAGTTATCCTGTAGATGAACTCTACTATTTTATCCTTTATGGAGCCTGAATTTTTCAAGTCTATTTAACGGACATGGTTGGGTGAATCACTCTCTTTTCTGTATTATTGGCAGAAAGTATCTTATTCAAAAATTTATCTACAGTATGCAATTTTTCTGTATTAGAAATATAATAATATCAGTATTAACTTTAAAAAAAAATACTTTTTTGGTAAATAATAATCATAAAATGAAATACGGGTGGCTATCATCAGCACTCTGCATAATAAAGGGGGAACATGAACTTTAATTTTGATACATTTTTTCTTCTACCAGAGATGTGTATCATTATATTATTACTTTATATATATATTTTCTTGGTGACAGTATAAATGCCGCGCATGCTAGCTATGCAAAACAAATCAAGGGTAAATGAAGACAAGCATTAAGCTATTAAAGGAGTTCAAAATGTATTTTTTAAAAAGTGTCATGATTTGCAAAAGGGAATAATTGGACATCTGTGCCAAAATAATCACTATACAAGTAAAGATGTGAATATTTCTCCAGTAATTGCACACAAAATATTAAAAAAAAATGATTGGAAGAAGTGTTGATTTTCTCCTTCAGATTACTTAAAAGATAACACTTCTTTTAAGATCTTAAGTGGTGTGATATTTTTTTTTAAATGTTTCGGAAATTTGGGGTTAGATATCAGATGACATCTAGAGTGTACATTTTTGATATGGCTGTTTAAAAGGTTTCATTAAGTAGGACATTACTGACTTCCTTCTTCCGAAACTTCATAGTTTAAACATGTTAAATTCTAGTAACTTTGATAAGAGGGACTTTGCTTAAATATTCTATGTTTAGAGATTGTTGCTCAAATGATATTTGCGTTTTATTGCAAGAAATGCTGCAAAAGAGGGGAAATATATTTATGTTTACCAGTGTTATTGAACTAATTTTACAAGTTCAGTGAAGCTAATTTTTTGCACACACCTTTAACCTTATGTAGGGCATAACCATATTAAAATAACACAACAAAATGTTGATCGATGAATTTATCCTTTATTATACATGTATAAATGACAAAATTTAATCAAAAGATACATCAGATAGAAAAAAAAATGTGTAAATTTAAACAAAACATAAGTTCTTCAAAAACAAATCTCCCCAGTGTAACATATTCCATCAAGAAAATCGAAAAATTAACAATCTATATTCTAAAAAAAAACAATTAGCAAAAAAGGTTTCAGACTATTTTACATTGAATGTTATCGCGTAACAAATGTAAAATGTCAATATGTCCGTGGGTTAATCTAAGTGTAATGTCAAAACTATGACAATACGAGAGGCACGTTTAACAATATATAATCAATTAATCTCTCGGGTTTTCTATCCTCTGCTTATCATCAGATGACAATTGACCAATCATCATCTTTAAAACCTAAACATTTCACATATTTACCTCCATTTCAATGTACATTTGCGTCTGAGTCCATTCGGGTGTCCTTTTTAAACTAAAATCTAAATAATGAGTGTGGTATGAAAAAATATTTCTATGAAAACATTGATTTACCGTATTAAATGTATGATTGATGTAATGAAGCTTTCACTCTAAATACAGACTTTAGAAATAGCAATATCAGTTCAATGTTCCCATTGTCCATCATTTTTGACCAGTATATAGCATCAAGAATAAAACTTTTAGTAAGTTTTTGGAGGCTGAGACACTATATTGGTCTTGATTTTAAATGGATTTAAAACAGTAAAACATGCAGAATTTAAAACATTAAACTGAGTTCATGCAAATAGTCTCAACTTTTTACCTAAATAATCATTCAATATAAGGTAAAAAAAACCATGCAGCAAAAGGAGTAATATTCGCAGTTGGGCCAAGTTCGTCAAGCCGTGTAACCCTTCCACCACTCATAAATACTTACAGTACAGATAACTTGTTTAGTAGATAATGATGGCATATGTATATGTATTTATTATTGTAAAATTTTGTAAAGTATGTTGTATGGCTATGCAGATTTTATATATGGGAGAGGACTACCTAAGTTGTTAGAACTTGTGTCCGATCCCTTTGACATGTTGTCAATAAAATATGTTCAAAACAATGATGGCTTAAATATTATGAAAAACCAAAAACATTTTAACTAATGGATTGGCCCAGCAAAACTCGATTAAAAGGAACTCGCTGGGAAACTCGGTTATAAGGAAGTCGCTGGGACCCATGAAATTATTCCGCTATATATCCGTAATTTGTTATAATCATAGAAGAAATTCGTTTAATTTATATAGCTCGGAATCCAAGATGACATCGCTATATCCGTGAATTCGCAACATCCGAGTTCGTACTAAACGAGTTTTACTGTATAACCAAATGTCTTTATTTGGACCTTCTTAGATGGACAGATGCTGAACTGTCAAAGATGCCAATAAGAAAATGAGACTCTCTTGTTTCACATCAATAAAGATAAAATTAAGGATAAACAAACACAAAACAAATCAAAACCTCGCTTAAACCCATTTCAAATGATTAGCATTCATTTTCAGTTTGTCGAAAAAAGTTCAGTTTTTGAGACAAAAGTAAAAATACCAGTGCTACAAACACAATTAAAACCACATTCACTTGAGCTTATCGTAATGTGATGGTTGATTTAATTGTCCAAGTTCTTGGTAACCTGCGTTATCCTCAACTCTGTCATATGTAGGTGTGTTCAGATCTTGTGTTGGATCCTGCTGTTTTTGTACGTCCTTTGAGATCCGTTTTTTATAAACAGTTTGTCTGAAATTTCTGTAACAAATATACAGAAAGAAAAATTTAGTCAAAATCTGTTATGGAATAAGAAGAAATTTATGGCACAATTTATATTCATGATTCAATTTACACCTTTAACTCCCATTTTGATCTTAAAAAAAAAGAACTTACCGAACAATGAAGAATATGTTGAGAACAATGCTTAGAAAGAGAACTGCTGTCACAAGGTACAGTGCTGTTGATGACACATTAGAGGTTGAATTGTTTTTGAACGATTGCTTTGTTTCTTTCATAAAAAAAGAGAAGCATGGTAATAATTTAAAACGATTACACTTAATTGTTTTTATTTTGACAATTTTAAATGCGATATGAAGAGGAATTTATTCTTGAAATCCATAATTTTCTCTCATGAATGAAAAGAAATGTTCCATTAAGTGATTACAACTTTACTCAATTGATAACTTTTAGACGCAATTCCCATATAACAAATATAACAAGTGCTAACCTCTCCATATAAGTTTAAAATCCTTAAGAGGGGCATGAAACAAAAATCAACTAAACAAAACTAACTCTAATTATCGAATGAAAATAAAAATTGAGGAAGGTGAAATCTTGAAAAATACCTCACATTGTCCAAGTGCAATTTTATTTTTGATTTGAACATAATATAATTAATTTATTTTGATTTGATCTGTATCAGTTAAATCATATATAAAACAAAGTCATTTCTTTTCTATTATACTGCTGATTAGATGATATCTGATGAGATTTTCGTATTATTTCGTTCGTATTAATAAAATAATTCTGTGTTCTGCATAAAAATACTTCTTCTTTTAATCAACTCCCTCATTTAATGAAAAAAATTACATAGAAATTTCATTAAAAGTATCCAAAACAAATGATTCACTTATCCGAACGATTCATATATCCGAACGATTGTGTTTGGGACAGACCTCCAGATTAACACAATTATTGTTACACAAAACTTAAAGAGAGACATTTAAAGATACTTTGCCATAATGAAAGTTGATATTGCAACCTTCTTTACATGAGCCATTGTTTGAAAAACAGGTTCCATTTAAACAGACTGGACTGCATTCTTGATCACACTGTGGTCCGTAACGATTCTGACTGCATTCTACATATATACAAATTTTATGTATTAGTTGTCTGGTTAATGAAACCGTTGAATGAAAATCTACCTGTCCGTCAGCTTATAGGTTACAGATAAGTCTGCAAAAGTCACAAAATGTCCGAGCTCTGTCAGCTTTCAGATAGCTGGATGTCATAATAGTTTCACCTCAGATAGTATTTTGCTTTAAGCATGAAACCTGGGGTCAGATGTGTTTTTCATGCAAATCTTTATGTCATTATTTATTAGTAAATTATATAGGGACTTTTTTTATCTAATGATTAAAATGGTCACACAGGGGACGTTACCATTGACAGTAGATGAATCTCCGATCTAATTTCTGTGCCTAAGATGTTAATAATCTCACTGCTCACAATTTATCAAACTAAATGAATTTTTTATTACGATTACTGTTTGATAACTACTAGTATTTAGACAACGTTGATGTTATAAATAGAAAGTGATTCACTGAAAGTAATTCAACTAAAAGTCAAGTCAAGAAAAGAATGATGACATATTAAGTAATCATAAAACTGTTCATAGGCCCTGCACATGTTATATGCTTCCTTTATACCTTGGAATTAAATTCAAATTAAGTTTTATAACAATACGCATTTTACTTCGTTCATTGTTTTTCTTTTTTACTTAAATAAATAATTAAAATGACCCTGTAAGGTAAATATGCCCATGAGACTCCTAGACTATAGCCTGGAAGAACAGGATTCCTCAAGTTGACTTTATTAAAAAAATTCTTGTTTCTCAGAATTATATAAAAAATGTGATCCTTTATTTTTTAAAAACATTGGCTTTACTGAAATCTATCCTTTCAAACTCGCAGATATCGCTATGATTATTTATAAATACTAACATTAATGGCTGACAATAGTCGGGGAGAGATAACAACCCCACTTATGAGAGCTGTTACATTTACTTAATTCATATCCTTTGTATATAGGTAACTAAATTTGAACATAAATTGTCTTATCATGCATGTTTAATAATAAGTGATTTCAAGCGTAAAACTATGAAATTTAGCAGGGAGAATCGTAAATGTATGCAAAAATGTCATTCTATCGCAAATTGTGTCTTACCATTACATTGTTGACCCTGCCATCCTTTTTTACAGACACAACTTCCATCAACCTGATGACAATCCGAACTACACCCATTACTACAGACTCTTAGGCAGTCAGCTCCATATCTTCCGGCAATACATCCAGAGTCGCATATACCGCTTGTTCTACTACAAAAACTTTTACAATATTTATTACAGGTTTTATCACATTGATACCCATATTTCCCAACTGGGCATTCACACTCCCCGGAGTTTATGTCGCAAGCCGAGGGACACGATGCACTGCACCTCTGTTCACACTTCACTGAATAAAATCCAGTTATACAGCCGTAAGTGCAGAATCCAGTGATATTATTACATATTTGTCCTAAACAATTGACACTACACGTGTTGGAGCAACTATGTCCGTAATGATTGTAATCGCATTCTGCAAAGATTAGAAAAAATTATAATAATAGAGTTAAAAACCTGAGGTGTTACAATATTATTGTTGTGATTTAAGTATTAACTTTCTTTGTTTTAATCGTCAGAATTTTTTTTATGTGTTCGAAATATAAGGCATCATGTAATTACTTTGTAATTAAAAGTATGTTCTTGTTCCGAAAAACTTCATACTCATGCTGTAATATGCTATGTCTCATATTATTTTTATCATTTATTCTATGCTGTCTGATTAAATCAAACTTGATCAAATAATTACATTGTAAGTATATAATTTAAGTTAATAAATTTAAGATTTAAATGAATTGCCTATTGACTTATTGTTTCTTATAATGAAGATAACTGTAAAGCAAAAATTGTAACTGATTTCACAATTAGGGTTATACTGTGTTCGATTCGATCTTTCTAAAAAATATACCTTATCTTTGGTTAATATTCTTAATGTTTTGTAATTGATGAGACGTAACAATCCATTGATTTAGGATCTACTTCATATTAAAACATATTAGCTATTTTTTTTTTCAAAAAATTGATTCAAAACATAATCAAATGAATATGGTGTTTTGACTAAATAAATCATCTAAATTACGCCATCGATATATAGGTAATATGATTCAATAAAATGCTTGATGTACTTATAGTATTTTGATATGTAGTCTCCAAGTGTTACATGTAAAGGGAACATTTATGCCTTGTTCTCATTATTTTCAAATAATGTTTTGTCAGTCTATTTAAAAAATAATATAACAAATGTAGCCCGTTGGTGAGGTCAGTCCATAGCTATATCGACTCACAGAAAAGCATATCGACCTCGTACTCCGTTCAATATGCCTTTCTGTGAAGTCAATATGTCCATGAGTTGATCCATCAAAGGGTTCATTTATATAATAATTGTGCTTACTATATGAATTTTTTTAACTATCATGATTTATATTTTGAATACAAACAAGTAAAAAAAAAATCTTTCGATAGTCTTTGATTTAGTTACCCACAAGACTACCGATTTCTGAAATGACAGTGTGCAATAAGTTCTAATTTGAGTAATTTAAAACAAACCATCGCAACGATTCCCTATCCAGTTTGGTTTACATCTACCAATACAAGTTCCGTTCTGACTACAGCTAGGTTGTGCACAAGATCTACTACAAGACATGTGACAGAGTGACCCGTAATATCCAGCATTGCAAGAATTGCATATTCCACTACTCATATTGCAGACTGTCATGAAACAAGTAGATGGACAACCATTCAGGCACTTATTTCCCCAGTACCCATGCTTACATCCCCGGGAGCAGTTTCCATATTCATCACATTCTCTATCTATACAATTTTGGCTGCATGTGACCCCTAAATAAAGATTCATTAAATCTGACTGTTTTATAATTATATCTAATAATTATATAAAGCATCTTTTTCATTGACGAAGTATATTTCTAGCACAAAAAGTCCTATAAAGTTAAACACTTTTCATTTCAAAATTTAAAGAATTTAGTAATTTTACATGTTCCTATCAGCATTCATGTTTCAATCTGAAAGTCCGATTCTTTAAACTGTTCTTCAAGAAATTAGAAACCATTAAACAATGCGATTCATTTATTATTCTATAGCACAATAACAATTCATTTTTTTAATTTCAACATTCGTAATAATGATTTTCATGTGCCTTATTGAGGATTATTCTTTTTATCAAAAACAGCATTTTACAATTGGAAGCGTCGCACAAGTGGCACAGTGGTTAGACCGTCTGCTCCTAAGTCGCAGAGTAAGGACCTGATGCCTACGTCGCGAATTTGAATCCCACTGTTGGACGTGGGGACCGGTTTTTCGGATAAGACCGTTTAAACCGAGGTCCCGTGTCGCTGTGTGTGTTGGCATAAAAATATCTCTCATTGCTCAATCACTATATTAGAGTACGCAAAAGGATGTTTCTTTACATTTAAAAACAAAAGGAATAAAAGTATATAGTACTTACGGCAACCAGATTCAATGTTGCAGTTTTCACAACCTCCACATGATGAACAGGATGGTCCATAGTGACCGATATTGCAACCTTTGGTAAATTTGTAGCATAAAATAATTAAAATCTAAATAGATCCTCATCGGCATATTGAGTTGCAAATTTCATTATACGAGGGTTGATCCAAAAGTAATGACACAGTGTCCATATCTTTTATATTTGGCGCCATATTATCAAATATTATACACCAAAAGATGCACAAATATAAATTTAATTAAACTTTGAATTTTCATTCAATAATGTTAAACTGAATTTATTTTATAGATGTTTAAAATATATAAGATAGGGGGTGTCGCCGCGTCTAAACCGAACGTCACAGATTAAAGTGTACTTTTTTTAGTATAAGAAAGACAAACACTTAAAAAGCATCCTTTAAAAGCACCTAAACGCAAAATACTTTAAAAGTCAAAAACTTACATCATTTTCTAGTCTTGAATTGAAAATTATATGACATCACAGCTATTTTTTTTTATGAAAACCATCGTTGATTTATTCCGGTACATTGAAAAAAGGAAATGTCAAAATGGACAAAAAAGGCAAAACAAACTGTAATGCATATTTGCTTCAAAATGGAGAATCGCCAGTAGAGACAGTTACATTGATTCACCACACTTTCGGAGGAATGAATGAAAATAAGATACTTGTTTAGATGATTTCAGCGATTTTCGGTGGGTAATGGGTCATTAAATTACGCCGACGGATAGCGATTTTATCGACGTTGTGACATAACTTTTGGATCAGCCCTCGTACAACACACTAACAAATATCTTTAGACAACAATAAAAATCTGTCAAGCTAGATAATGCTTACAATGTGAAATTTGAAAGAAAATGAAGTACTGTAGTGATATTTTTTTTAAAACTTAAAATTGCAATATATATCACCTTTAAAACTTTAATTTACCATAATTGACCCAGTCTTTGATTGATATTTTAAAATAAAGATAACTTTCCCACCATAATTATTATCAATCAGATCATGATTTACAAGTATTTGCAAAACCAACCTATACAAGTCACGTGACCAAGGGGTACATATATTTAAAGGGTCCCTCTAAAAGCGTCTTAGAGGGTTATAAAGATTTATTACTTGTTAAAGACTATTCATTGTGAAAAACCAAAGAAAGATTAACCAAATATCATCAGGGAACATGTAACAGGGCTGGGGTAACACAAAAAGTTAACTAATTTAATATTTTTTTTTTTTTAAAAAGAACTTCTGTAATTGTAGCCATAGAATTTTTTACATTAAACTATTAATATTGCTTACTTACAATAAGTCTGAAATTGGTCTTTATATTTTGAAACTATCGTCTCTAGTGTCAAAGTTTTTGGTTTTCCTCACAAACAGACACACAATATAATATAATCAATTATTTTTCCTTCATGTTTGATATCATCGTATGATTTTAATACAGGTATAAAAGGACAAGCCAGTACTAAATAGTAAAACCCCACTCTGTTTGACTCTCATGAATCAATCTCACAATAACATGGCATGCGTAAACAAAGAATGTACTAAAATTTCAAGAATCTGCAATTAATATTCGCTGAGAAAACCATGATGGACAATTGGTACATACAGACACGCTGATAAACAGAAAGTTGATGTTGTATTCATACAGAAATAAATGTCACCTTTTGACATGCAAAACGTGTTTTAAAAGCCCCAATCATCTACTACATTGTATGAGTAGTTGCCGAGAATATGCGAAGAAAATTTGTTACAGACAGACACACAGACAGCTAGACAGACACACAAGGGTAAAAAAGTATACCACTCTCCTTCAAAACTAGGGTTGAAAGTTCAGTAATCTGTTTGATTGACTGGACAATGTTATAAATGTGTATAATTCACTTTTAAAAATGTTTGAATAAAATCAACCTCAAGTCAACAGATTGCAAAATTTGCAAAGTAATTAGTATTTAAGTGTGTGTTGCATTCCGAACCACAACCATATTTCAGTATAATATTACTTTACATATAAATAATTAATTATCAAATTATGGTTTTGGTTCAGAATGCAACACATGGGGTACTAGAAGGTTAAACATCATTACTCTCCAACATTTTTCCATATACTCAATGTTAAAGCGGTTGAGGGTACCATACTTTGATCGTTTATTTCAATATTTTCCTAACTTTTTTCTCGCAGAATAAATACACAGGACAAAATTATACAAGTTGAAAATAATGAAAGTTAGTTTAAAATTGTTGGCAATCTAATTTCATTTTTTGCAAAAAAACATGGGCCAAAAACAGCCTTGTGGAAACCTCTCCTTTATACTGATATAAGATATTTTTAAATAAAGTCTCGTTGACCACTAAGGACAATTTAATAATACTTGTGAGTCTTTTTTCTTCTGGTTTTGAAATGCTTTTTGAACATTTTTTACATCTCTCGTTTTCGATAATATATGAACCAATTTTCACGTCAAAAGTGGTTTAACGGGGACCTTTATAAAAGAGTAAAAGAGAGAAAAATGATTGGCATGGGTTAAAGAGGCACACATTGAACTAAAATTTATATAAAATAGGGACATTGTGGTGCATTACCAATCACTTCAATTTCACAGATCTCTAAGACAGGTCCTGTAGAATCTGTATCTTCTGGTGCTTTGTATGTAGTCTGTATAATGACGTATCTCGCCGTCTGTTTACAAGGGATGTCAATCACGGGAGAGGGCGTGGCTGGGGCTGTAGTGTTATCTGTGTAACATCTCACTCTCTGTCTTGAGGTGCCTGCCGATGAATTTGATACGTCTAAGTAAAACTGGCGAAGTCGGTATGGAGGCTAGTTAGCTGGAATAAGGAATATTTCTTTCATTTACTTCCTTAATAAACATATAAGTAAAGGATAGTGATAAATCTAGGAAAACGCCAACTTTGTGGCAGTCTGATCTTTTTAAGCTCTGAAATTCTGGTAGTCTCTATGTCGGAATTTCGGGGTGTAACAAGAGTAACTAAAATGTTATTCTAAACAGATTGACCGCGATGAGAAATTTTTTGACTACTGCATTTCTCATATCATAGTCTTCCAATGAGATGATGAAATTTATATATGTACATGTATTTATTATCTCTCTCTCTCTCTCTCTCTCTCTCTAACACAGCCCCCCCACCCACACACAGACAAACACAGAATGGCTAAAACATAAAAATAAAATATTTTTCATGAATAAGGAAATGTAAAAGAAAATATCGAAAATTATTTATTTTGCTTGGGAATATAACTTTTATTGTTTTGTCTGGTAAAATTGTATTACCTGTGACAGTGCCCTTCTAAGTTCTGTTGATTTTTGACCCCATATATAACATTCACCTTGAAGTTTGGCCTACGTTTAAAAATTGCTTCGTTATAACATTTGATATATAGAGACAATAGATAAAGGGCTTCAAAATTCGACATGTTTGTTGCCTGTAATTAACAAGATGTTTTCGAGCATGCTATAATATTTGACCATTTAACCTTCATGTTTGACCTTATTTTCAAAGTTTTTACCTTTGGTGATTACTTTTGCATGGCATATGATAGGGAGTGCATGACTGATACAATATAACATTTAAAAATGCCATATAGAAGGACATCGAAAGCAGGGGGCACACTTCTATTAATTTGCTACTTCTTCAAAAAATTTAAAAAATTTCAAATATTAAAAACAGCATTACTTAATCAATGAAATCTAATCGCAAACGAGACAATTTTCACCTCAAACCGTAGAAAATGTTATCTACATAGACAGGGAAAGCATGGGGACAACAATTTTGTGTAGTCTTAATAAATAAATGTTCTTCACAAAAAGTTTTCAACTAAATACATGTAACTTATAGAACAAGTAAAACTGATGCAAAGCATCGAATTGGCCGCAAACAAAGTTTAACACTTCAAAAATATCCTTTCAAAATTCTAAAAGCGTCCGTGCAAGGAAAGCACGTCGAGACATTCATTCAAATCATTTTATTTCAGACTGTCTTCAAAGCAAAATAAATAATTTCAAAAAAAATTAATAAACAGACATTTTACCTCACTTGCTCATGTAAATTAGTCGATGTAAAAATAAGTCAATGATAAATGATAAGAATTTACTGTAATCACAAAGAAGGTGTAGGCCTCTCAACATAAACCACGTGCTGATCTGGACGTTGGTCACGTGATAATGCCCATTGTTTCTGCGAGTAGGCTATATGCTGCAAGCCGCGGTGCAAAATGTACAAATTATATTTTTGTGTCATTTGCAGCTATATATAGAGCATATTCTTAACTTTTTTTTAATAGTTAAAAAACTTTTCAATTTTTATTCATTGTGCAATTTTACCACGTCATTATTATCCGGAAAATCATGACGATTTTCTTCCATATCTTACACACTCCCATGCTGGAGAGTATCTATTGTAAACACTTTTTTAATGAACCATAAATTGTTAATTACCTGATGAGAAATGATAATGAAATTGAAACATAACAACAATTAATGCTAAGTTTAATGCAAGTTTTTAATTTTTTGTTTATGTTTTTTAACTTGTTTTCATTTTTTAAAAAAAATATTTAATTGAACTAAACATAAATAATATCTCATTTCCCCATGTTCACTTTCTAACACAACCACAAATAGATCACCGCTGCTCCTGCAAATAATTATTTTATCCGCAAAATCTAATCAGGAACGAGACAATACTTTCCCTCTAACCAATAAAATATTATGTCTACAAAAATATGGGAATTTTTAATTTTTGTTATCATACACTTATTGCTGATTTTTGAAGTCAATATGATAATTTAGACGCTAAGGATTATAATATTATCCGAGCCCAAAGGACAAGGTGAATATTGTACTTAAAAGGTGACGAAATCAGCGTATTGACCATAGAACTGCACATGACTTTCTAGGGGGAATGTAAGGATTTATTTCCTCTACATTCGTCTCAGAATAGACAGGAATATTAAAAAGGAGTATTCCACTTAAGTATAGTAGCGTGGTCCCTTTTTACACCCTTGGTTTACTGGATATATAGTAGCAATGGGTATTTGTTTGATTTCATTGTGTATAACAAAGTATTTCTAATAAAATCATAATGATTTCATAAAGAATTATTAAAGATATCAAAAAGTACAAGCCGATTTTTAACACCCATCGGGCTAAAAAATACCGGAACTTTTCCCCTCCATCAGACTACGGTTTTTCTGTTACATGTAAATGGGCGGAGACATTTATATTAGATACTATAAAAAGAATATCCGTGATATATAATATTTTCCTTTCAAAGACTAATTATATGTTCAAGATTCACATTCAACAACAAATTTTAATTTTCTATTCACAAAACTCTAGCCATATGAATGAACCACTATAACAAGTCCATATGCTGACCGATACAAGATCTGAGTACATTTCAACAGAGTGCTTGCTTGCACGTTTACTGTGGGCATTTACCTGTAACGACACAAATCCACGTGGCTTGTTGTGATTCGAAACAGGTCATAAAGAGGTTAATCGTATGTAAATGAAGACGGCGACGAGGTTCAAAATCACAATACTTTTAATTAGAAAACATAGAGCACAAAGTTGTTCAACAAAGATATTTTTTCTCAACCTTTAAAAATATAATATACACAATATATATCAAACTCGACTCTGAACAAATCTGTGCTCGGTGTTTATGAAAGCTTGAAAGTGTGTACCTGTCAGTGATTTCTTTTGATATTCATGAAAATCAAAGGACCCCAACTTCAAAACGTAGCTTCGAATGCTGTGTATATCTATTATTTGACATTTTTAGATGAAGATTCAAATAATCAAGACATTAGTTATCAATTACATTTAATTTTAAAAGCCTTTGATAAATGTTCGAAATTTGAGGAGTAACCGAGGACCACAGATAAGCCTTAAATGAGACTTGTCCTTTTATGCAAAGGTTTTGACAATTTATGGTAATTGGCAATTTGTGGGGGATTTGACAAAATGCCAAACCCACCGAAATAGTGTTAATAAAATATGTTCAAAACAACCAAACAAACAATAGTCTTGGAAAGATTTTTCACTTTCTTCCTACCTAAAATAAAATTGTGAGTAGCACTCCATCCCCCATAAAAGGAAACGCATTCTCCTAACTCAAACGTTTATTTGGTGGGATGTTAAGGTTCATTAACTATGGGAGTGTTTTTTATTGGAATGTATATCCTTAAAATTTAACTTAAAAGCTTTACATTCTCAAAAATGTTGGGAGGGGGACATGCCTCATGTAACCCCCCCTCCCCTCGATCCTATGTACATATGAGTGGGAGTTAGCTGCGAGTAAAATATCTTTCAAAAATTTGGAATATACCCAAATTTATCTTTAGTCTCATGTTTTAGAAAATAACATCATTATACAGTGTATGTAATCACCTGGATGGTCACGAGCAGGTAAATATACGTTGTATTTTATTCTACATTGTTGGATTTAAAGGAGGAAGGAGTAATTCAATTCTTTACTGTAAATTTTATGTCTTGAATGAAAAATATTAATTCTGTATAAAACATATTTTAAGATGTGTTTGTGAAATGCTGATGCTCCCGTATGATAGCTTACTGTGAGGGTTGAATTCTCTCAAAGGCATGTGAAACTCAAAAGGTCAAGGTCAAAAGTGTTGGTACCAAAAGGGTGGTCATGTTATTTGGAAGGTTACAAGGAATATGTGGAATATGGAAGTTCTTGTTTTGAAAAGTGAGTCAACTCTTAGGTCAAGGTCAAAAGGTCTAAAATATCATTCCAGCTGAACTGTCTTGTCGCTATGAATACACATGGGATGTATGAAAGCCCTTGCTCAAACTGTTCAAATGTTTTTGTCAATGTTAAAGTCTGGTAAAATGGTTTTTTTTTCCGTAAACTCCAAGGTCAAGGGTCAAAATTTGTTGGCACCAAAAAAAAGGTCTTGTCATAAAGAATACACCTATGAAATATAAAAGTTGCTGTCTTTAAAAAAAAGACTGCAATTCATTGTACGTGGACCATGTGTTTCGAACCAAAAATCAATTAGAGAAAATTTCTAGGTCTAGTGAATATTCATGTAGGCTCGTTCACATTTCCACAATGACCTGCATATTTTGACTGATACATTTGTAATACATTCATTGCATAATAATAAAATTTTAAATCCGATTAGCCTATAATTTCTAATTAAAAAAAAAACTTAGGCTATTTGATGCATGTAACGGATATCGGCTGGGACTAAATATCTGTTCTTGTTTTATACAGAAGAAATCTATCATTAGAAAATAGATCTGATGGTTCACCTGTAGTATAGCTCTGTAGTACGCAGATTTTTAAATCCCCCCCCCCCAACACGATAAACCCTTTCTACAGGCATCTATCAAGCTGTGTTTTAATTGCTGTATAACAAATTATTGCACAAAACTAATGCCGATTTTAAAGGTTAGAACAAGTCATTGAATGAAGTTATTAAGGTATCTACATGTAATTATCTAATAGTAAATACTGGAAGTTCTTCCTACTTTTAAAATGTTTGTGCCATAGAATCAATGCTTACTTTGTATATATAAAAATATACATGCATGAGAGAAATTCGGCTCCGCCAATAAATATATAAATACGATAACTTTTGCAAATTTAAAAGCAAGATTTGTGAATAAAATGGCATATTCTAATCCAACTAGGGCGAATTATTCTACTAGCAAGTTGTCTTAGAAGTATTCTCACGCATGCGTATCCTGACGTTTGCCTAGGGCATCCGGTTTAACCTCGCCTATATATATTTACTATTTATATTTCTATCCACGGTCATAAACTGGACGTAAACTTAAAATTTAAGTTTTACTTACCATCATTTCTGAGGTATAATTTGACAGATTTTAGACTGTAAGCTTTTCGGAGATCCACCTGAACCCAAGCATATGCTTCATTTTTACCGGTAAATGCACACTCTGGATAATACTGTGCGTAATTTCCATCAACAGCCAACAATGCTGACTTATATGTTGAGCTTTGGGAGACGATAGCCCCAGACACTCTGCTTAACTTTACTGAAGAAGAATACGAATTTTTTTATTGCATTTGTTCTACACCAGGTTCATATCAAATATGGAGATAACAAATGACAATAAGGCCCAAAGACCATAGAAAGTTACACAAAAGGTGAATATTGTGCAAACATGTTTTAAAGAAAATTATGGTGAACATTAATTTGTCAGTAGTGAAGGAACCAATCAAGCCACGGAATAGCCAAACCGACAATTGTTTTTCCGGTTTCATGTAATCATGAAATCAGAACAAATAAATATTGAAACTTTAGGAATTCGTTTTATTAATTCGAAATACGAATATTTTGACAATAAAAAAAACCTCATATTCATGTGCTCAACTCTAATCAAAAGGATATTATTATTTATTTAAATCTGAATCTATAGCACTGTTGTTGTATAATTATTAAGTAAAGACAGAACATACCGTAACAATATCCGACAGTGAACAGCGACAGAAGGGACACACAAAGTGCTGTAAAGGTAGACATTTTGATAACAAGGAAGTGAAAAACTCAATATAAACGTTAAATAAATTAATCTGACAATTTCCCTGTTCATTTACATGACATTTTTTGTACATTTATATTCACAAAGATCTTGATTTTCACATTGCGATGTTGTTTCGCAACACAACTTTGTTTAAAATTCATAAACGAGCGGTGCATGTCAATCTCTAAAGATACCGCCTGGTCTAAGGAAAAATGGACTATTTTTCCAGACCCGCAATGCAACACACATGTATGTTGCTGTTTATCTTTTATTTTTGGATGCTACATTTTCTTTAAAACTTCTATTTTCGTTAAAAGGGCGGTCTGGTCAGATGAAAGCTAATGATTTTAAAGATCTTCATTGTCCAAGGCGATGCTTATATAATAAGACCTCGCTGTTCTGTAAGAAACTTTTCCCAATGCATATGCAATAATGTAATTTTTACAGGGGATAGTATGAGGGGGCAGGGGGGACCCTTACTTTTTCCAGACATAGCAAAACTATAATAAATTTTCATTTAAATTCTGATTGCCCCCCCCCCCTCCATTCACGTTTAAATATGTACAAATAACGGTTTTGGTATCTACACAAGGTTAAAAATTAGGGCTGACATAACTTTGATAAATCCTTCGATAAACATTTTTGGTATTACATCTCAAGTATTTTTTTCAGGATAAAATATTTTCTTTGCCCCTCTTCCCCACACCCTACCCTCCGAAAATGATGCTATGTTATTACACTTTGTGTAGATCAACACAAAATGTAAAAACAGGACTTTTAGATTATTACATTTTGCGTTATTACATTTTGCGTCGAGATCAATGCAAATTGTAATAACGAGCTTTTTCGTTCTTACATTTTCCGTTATTTTTTAAGCACTGAAGTCATGCAAAAATGTAATAAAGCAATATGTAATTAAACAAAATATATATATATTTTTTTGATTGCGTTTAACAAATTAGATAATAAAATTGATTCAAATATAAACCTGTAACCAACATGGGAAACACGCTGTGAAAATATTTAGAACTAAAACAATGAGACCAATCTTAGGGCTTTTACGGACATAAATACATTTGAATGTATCGTTTTTTCTGACTCTGACTTCAGTTATATTAAATACACTGAATGTACTTCATTCTAAAGCATAATATAACTTTGGCCTATTTTTTTATAGTCTTATTAAATTTATAACCAATTACACATATTTCTTTACCGCAGATTAAGCATAGGCTCATTTAAAGCTCTTGATCTGCATGTTCGGCATGGGAAGAGTGGTTAACAAACCACATAAATATATAGAGGTATAAGTTTCTGTCAAGCGAGGAGGGGGCAGATATAGGATGGAGTGTGTACTACGGTTGTTTATAATGGTATTATAAATACATGCAGGAACAATTCATTTCTATATTCGATTGACAGAAAGAGAGAGAATTTTTTTTTGCTTATCTACAAAGCTGGTAATTTGCATGGAACTGTATGGTATCATATTGTCAATAAACCTCTTCCCGCTATATGCATGTATTTACACCCGCCTGTACAAAAGATTATATTTTTTTTAGATTCATTACATTTGTCAATAGAATAGGCAAAAGCACACTGGTCAATCCCCACTCCCACCAACCAACAACTTTGCCCACACACGCACGTTTTTATTTTGCAAAACATATTATTTAAATAAATTTATTAAACTGATCTTAAATACATTAGCTTATATCAAATTCATGTATTATAAAATTCATTAATGTAAGAAATTGTACATATCCAGTTTTGTTCCTTTTGTTTTATTTTTTTTTCAATTTCTTCCACCACTGTATTGAAAATTGCACTTAATCTGGCGGACCATTTTGCGTTCTTGCCTTTTGATTAATCTCGAGGCACAATGTAACAACTCAAAATGTAATAATCCAAATATCGTGTTATTACGTTCTGTGTTATTACATTTTGCCTTGATCTCGACGCAGAATGTAATAACACGAAATGACATAATCATCAAAACCGTTTTGTCACATTTTGCGAAATTACTGTAAATGTATAACATTTAGCGTGTACGATATTTGACAAAAATTGGATTTTGAACAAGTTAGCGTGGATTTGATTTAGCGCATATTTTAATGTTCTTCTTTATAGGTATATGTGCGAGGCATTTAGTGTTGTACTGGAATTAGCGGAGATTGTTTTTCGCCAAAAGCGCTAAAAAGAATACACAGCCAAATGTAATACGGTTACAGAATTACATTCTATGTTGATTTCCATTGAAAATGTTATAAGAAAAAATGCAACAATCCAGGTTTATTACATTTCGCGTTGTTATTACATTTCATGTTGTAGCAATGCTACGTTAACTTTTTTTATACATGTATCTGATTTCGGCAAAATCTTAACTCCGGGATTCATAACAAAAAATAAGATATGATCCACGCTTATTATTACATTGTCACAGTATATATGAAAGTTTTATCCATATCAATTAAACAACTTCTAAAATATATTGAATTAGATTATTTACAGTCTGATATCTGGGTATTTTTGTACACGTGAATTTCCTGATAATCAGAGTCTTTAGGAAAACTATTGATTTCAGTGTAAGGATGGTCATTGTTGGAATCTATTATTTGCTCATAGCATTGTGGTTCTTGAACGGAATTCGCAGAACATGCAGGCATACTGATTGCTTGATCGTTTTCTCTTCGTCTGTTCCGCCTTTTTCTTTTGTTGAGTACTATTTTTACACCCGTACATATTAAGGTTAAGCCAAAAAGCGTTGAAATAACGGAGATAATTATAGATGAAGTCTTTGAGATCCCGTCACCTATAAATAAAAAAAAACGTTGCTCTATCTTATTTATGAATTGCATCTACTCAACAGTTAATTTCAAAGACAATATGTAACTACAGTAAAATTCTAGTATGGTCAAGTTCCTGGGACCTAGCTATATCTGAGTTCATTATATCAGTTATACAAAATCCTCTATAGGGAATTTGCAATATAGATTTCTTTCAATCAAATATAACAAAGTGCATTTAGGGAGGTATGAAATACAAAGGTTGCCTTGGAGTTCAAAGTTTTCAGATTAATTTAGTTTCAATTTTAATGCAAGTACTTTCAAAATTAATATCATTTCAATCTTTAAAAAATCGTATAATTCATTATACTTTCGTATTTAACTTCTACCGGACACACTTATAATTTGCTTTAGCTGTAAATTCACTATATATCTGAATTCCTTTATATATTTTTCGAATTTTGCAAGAAATTGTAAAAAAAAATTTCGCCTAAGATTATAAATTTTTCAATATATATTAAGAAAAATTACTTTCTTCGTATTCGTATTGAACGAGATTTGCTGTACATCAAACTCGAAAGCCCATAATTGCATTGATTTTTAAGCTATTCTAAATCACTGAGTTTCTTATTTTCGTGTTATGAAACGATGTAAATTGTTCATTTTTTAGCCAACCAGAGCTGAGGGCTCAAGTGAGCTTTTCTCATCGCCCGCTGTCCGTCCATCCGTCCGTCTGTCTGTCCGGTGCAAAGTATCCTTGAGTAAGAGGAAATTAACATTGTTGAAATAAAAGGCCAATATTTTGTTACAAGAGGAGATACATGTAATCAAGCAAAGACAAAAATAGGATAGAGTCTTTAAAAAGTTCTTTTTCCCTAGGACTACTAGGCAAAAAAGTTAAAACTTATGTGGAAGCATCCTGAGATTGTGTCGATTCTGAATTGTTCAAATCATGATCCCCCAGGAGTAGAGCAGGGTCACATTAGAGAATCATACATAGAAAATATATAGAAATATATATGAAAAAAAAAGAATTTTTTAATTGTTCTCAAAAACCACTGGGCCAGAAAAGCTTAAACTTATATGGAAGCATCTTTACATGTTACTTGTAAGTAGTGTAGATTCTAAATTATTAAAATTAAAACACCTGGGGGTAGGGCAGAGTCACAAGATGGAATCCAAGTTTTACATTAAATATTTAGGGAAAATCTTAGCAAAAACCACCATCCTCGCAAGCCAGTGTTCCTGAGTAAACACGTTGCCGTTAAATCCCTTATCTCATGCAATGTCCGTAGGCTGACTGTAGTGACGTCCTTCGGGGAAATAAGAAAACTCGATTGTTTTTTTATCTCTCAACCAAACACTTTCAGCCATTCTATGATAAACAATTTGTAACATGTGCATTTGAGGACCGTGTCAACTGAATCCTTATCTGACTGTATTTGAGAGCTTTAATTTGATTGATGCTTCTCAATAGGAGAAGCAAGCCCATGGATATTGAATGAAATATGCAAGGAGTCTAATTGCAACGTGCTGACCCTGGCTTGTGGGAATGAAGAAACACTGGGCCAGAAAAGCTGAAACGTGCGTGGGTGCATCCTGACGTTTCGTAGATTCTGAATTGTTCAAATTGTGGCCCGAATGGTAGGGCAGGGCCACAATAGATAATACATGTACAAGGGGAATCTGCTAAAGAACAACTTGGCCAAAGTAACTACGGTGAGCGATATAGCCAATGCCCCCCCCCCTTTTCCAATCTTGTTTTATCATGGTAAGTTATTTTGCAAATTAAAGATATATCTGTCAGACATTACATGTAAGTACATTTATAATTTAATTTTTTTTTTCTAAACATTGTACCATCTTACCTTCTTGTATTTCTTTTATGGTTGAGAAACCTAGTAAAATGAGTCAAAAATACAATCATTAAAATTTATGATATTCATATAACTGCATTTATCACTGATGTTTCTTCTATGATAAATTCTTATTGAGATCACTGACTTCATCTAAATATTAATACAAAAGAAGGAAAAATACCAACTTTTAGGTGAGGGTACGAAAGTACTCGCATATTCAGAAAAAAAGATAATTTTATTTATATTTTTTTGTACCCAGAGCAGAGAAAACATTAAATCTTTTTAACCAATTTAATCATTTTGTTTCTTTTTCCTTCAATTGTACGGAGAAATTACTCTTGTGTTTCAATGAATCAAAGATTCAATAAAAGCAACCAGACCTGTAAAATGAATTCCTCAAGAAATGTTCAGAAAATCATTGTCAGGAAAAATAAAGCTGAAATATCTTCGGTTTAGCGTTGCAATTTGAGGACTTGATTCATTAAAAAAAAATAGAAACATTACTTTGCAATTAGGACCTAGGACAATTTAATCAAACAGAGAGACTTAATCACAACATTGCTTACTGACAGTGTATTAGAATAAGTACACCTTTACATGACACTTTAACTTGTTGCTAAACATTTGCTTCTGTCTTTTTTTTTGCTTATTTTTTTTTTATTTTTTTTGCTCTAGGTAACAAATAAGGTTAAATATATGCTATGATCTGACTACGCTCAAAATGATTGCTTTTTTCTCAAAGCATACGACAAATGCGTTCCCTTAATTGTTTAGATTCTATAAGCTTATTTTTTAAAAGCCAGATTTGTCAAGAATTTGATAGTTATTTATTATATATTTCAATATAAGTATAATTCAAAATATTTACATTTGCCAATGTCTTTCCTTATATGACAATACAAAACAAAATGAAATTCAATTTTCGATGACATGCACTCGGTCACATGATTTGACTTTCTTGCGTATGGAAAGCAAACATTTGGAAAGTCTTGTCTGTGACGTCATATGACGTCGTATTTATACGTTATGTTGCATTCAATAACAAAGTCTAAATACGGCATTTTATCTTTGTAATGTGAATAGCTAGAAATAAAAGTATAAATATAAGAAATAAAATATCAATATAAGAATGTCAATGGGATATGACATGAAGTCGGTACGTAATCAAATTTACTATAACCCCCTTTGGGCGTTATAGAATTTGATCACGTGACCGACTTCATGTCATATCCAAATGAAACTCTGAAAATGATATTTTATTTCTTGATTAAACAAAAATAAATTTACAACTGAGAAAAAATTTTGCCATTTGCATTTCCTGCTTATAATATTAAGTTTGTCATATGAAAATTTTTCGAATACTTCATGAACGTGGGCAAAGATATCCAATTGTTTAATTTCATTTTACAATTTTATGATAACAATACGCAGAAATATTACTTGTTCAAAACAAATACGTTTTCTCCTACCAAGAGTACATTGTTCACCGAAGAAGCCACTTTTACATCCACCGAGACAGGAACCGTTTTCTGCATGACAATGTCCATCAAGACAATTACTGCTACACTTCTTAGAACAGTCTGAACCGTAGAAGTCTTGTCGGCATTCTACATGTAAAGAAAAAAATAATTGTTTTCGCTTAAGGATTTTAAAAAATTCCATGACCAAAACATATTAATGGCAGACTGCTAAATTTTTGAATTAATAATGAAAAAAATACTTATAAAATCATTATACTACACGAAAAATAATTGCGGAAACAATCCAATATGTTCTCTAATGATGTTTTATACGTTGTTCTTTTATTCATTTCTTTAAAGTACCAGGTCACGAATAACCTAAAACGAGAGAAAACCGGAGGCAACCCTTCCTTGTTCAAGCGTTCGGTACTTTGAATTTGCAGGATTTTCGGATGAAACCTTACAAAGTGTGTTCCTCTGTCACGGATGGCGTCGGTACAATGACGAATTCCTACTGCTCAGTAGCCCTGAGTGCTGAGTTACTGTCTATATGTGAAGCCATTCTCCTGCATATTGTGATTTTTCTTTATGAGTTGAAAAATTCTGTAATGGGATGTAAGACAACCTTCATTCATTCAAACAAAGTACCATTGCATCTGTATCCTTGCCATCCTTCTTTACAAGTGCAGTTTCCCATAATTCTCTCACAGCTGCTAGTGCATCCAGGGCTGCAATCATCGAGGCATTTCTCGCCAAACTTTCCATTTAAACAATCACACGTTTCAATGCTTTCATTGCACTTATCTGTTCAAATAATAATAAATGTTTATTGATAAGATATGTGTCAAAGTTGTAGTTCTGATGAACATTATTTAGACATTTGAAATTTAAAAGAATATATATTTTCTATATTTAAAAAAATGCCTTAGTTTATAACAAAGGAATGCAAAAATAATCCGTGCAAAGATGTAAACTTTTGGTAGTGAAAATCAATTATCATATACTAGTGTTATATATTCATATTATGTAAATACCATAAAGCTCTCTTTGCTGTATGTTGATTGTATATGTTGCTTTACGCTCCATTCGAATAATCTATTACTCGTTCATGTAGGAAAACTTAGATAAAACACTTACTGGCACATGTATTTCCTCTCCGGTTTGGTAAACACCCTTCTACACAAAATCCGTTTGATTGATTACACCTGCGATTAACACAATTTGAACTACAAGATAAACTACAAAAATCACCATAAAAACCTTCAATACAACCAGCAACACAATAACCATTGCTAATACCACAAACTGTATTTTTACACTGTAAACTACATAGATGTCTGCATTGTAAACCATAGTATCCATTTTGACACCCATTTACACATGCCCCATCAACTTTTCTGCACGATGTCTTGGAACAATTGGTACTACAGGGTGTTTCACATTTTGGTCCATAATACCCATTAGTGCAGTTGTAAGTACAATCACCTGTACTCGAATCGCATATTTGTGGATTACATCTATCACTACATGGCTTTGAACAATAATTTCCATAATAACCGCCTATACAGCCTCTGATACATATGCCAGTGTCCTGTGCACACACTTGTTGATAGCAATTTGGGCATAATCTGGTCTCACAATTATTTCCTGTGTAATTAGCTTTACACTTATAGCAATTTCCATTTCTGTAACAAAAATTTACTGAGCATGAAGATGGGCATTGTTCAGTACATGTGTCTCCCCAATAACCATTAACACAGCCCTGTGTACAGTAACCGTCAGAATTACACTGTACTTGAAGGCATCCAGGGTTGCACTGATTTTCTTAAATGAAAATGGAAAATGTATGTTAAAAAACATGATATAAAATCAAACTACCTTGCAAATTACACCACGATATGTCTTTTTTTTTCCAGACTGGTTCATATAAGCATCACTAGTTTATAACTTTTTAAAAGGAGAGGTGGAATCAGATACCATAGAGGAAAAAATATTTTCTCTCAATTAAGCCAGTATGCAGGAAATAATAGCATAAAAATCTAAGGCTAAATATTAATAAAGTTAAGGATATACAATCCTTTTTATCTTTAGTATATAGTAGAATATGATTGCATAAAATGTTGAGAAGCATGATTAATAATAATGTTTAGGACAGTTGTTCTTTTGGATTTTTTGCTACTTACGGCAAACGCCATTCACAACATCACACAAGGAACATGAACATAATGAACATCTTTCACCAAATCTTCCAATTGCGCAACCTTCAATTAAATAGTAATTAAAATTAATACTTGTATCATTGATTATTGAATTTTAGAAAAAAAAATGCTAAAAAAATCTATATTCTATTAAGATAACAATCTACTTATGTAACAGAGGTCAAATGCAGCAACTGTAAACGAATTTTCTTTTGCTGTCAGTCATAGTATTGGCTGTTTCTTCTTTATTTGCATTATATTACAAAACTTATAGAATTGGTTTCTGAATTTGTATTAACTTCATCGATGAATTCACAAAATAAACTGTTTAAGATTTCATTGTAGTCGACTCCTACAAAAGCCTTTATTTTTTGCAATTTCATATTTTTCATGATAGAAATTCTAGCTTACTGTTTAAATTGGGTAGTTTTTTTAACAGCATTTTGAATAATATAATATGAAGTTCATATTCCATTCGAAATTCATCTAGTTATTTAATATTAAAACTTATTTTAAGGATTGTTCGATTATATGTTGTTTAATGTCCCTCTCCAGAATTTTTCACTTATATGGAAACGTCAGCATTTGCCGGCAGAGAGCTGCAAATTCTGTACTATACTCAGCACTTACATCTATTGAGCATTAAGGGATCGTATCTGTGGAAGCACCTACTACGACATACATATAGGACCTCGGTTTATACAGTCTCATCAAAAGGACCGGTTTCTACGTTGTACGGTGAGATTCGAACCCATGACGGAAGGATCAACTACTTACTCCCAGACTTTAAAGCCGACGATCTAACCACTGCGATACGTGTGCAACTACCGGGTATTTTATATGTTAACTTCCACATTTTGCGTTAAGTAAAAATAAAGCAAGCCTTTGTAAACGTATATGGTGCAATAAAGCTTCATTTAAAGAAAAAAATGAATCAGTTGGTTTTTCTCTTTACATATCCGTGGAAGATCAGGCGAGGCATTTGTGTTTTATCAATTCTGCATGTTATTATATTCAACAATAACTCGACCCGTTTCTACATTATTCCATCAAAAGAAAATACACACTTTTGCATTTGTATTGTCATAAATATAATTCAACCTCTTAAAAATTAATTTAAACGTTAACGTCTATCTTATTCGTCTTACCGTTAACTTCTATTTCACAAATTTCTAGGACTGGACCTGGATCACCGGGATATATGTACTTTGTTTCCACAATTATGTATCTCGCCGTCTGTTTACAAGGAATCTCAATTATATTTGGAGGAAGAGCAGGAGCAGTAGTGTTGTCGGTGTAACACCTGGTTCGCTGACTGGTTGTGGTAGAAGTAGCTGGAGAGTCCGAGACATCCAGGTAAAACTGTCTGAATCTATATTGCTTCCAATCACTAGGACGTTCACCTATGAAACATATACATGTACAAATTCCCAGGAATGTATTATTTTTTTTATGAGATAAAATCAACACAATTTTTATCAAATTTTAATAATCAACAGGGAGTTTTTCCGTCATAAAGGTTTTAAGTAGATGTGATATTCCCAAAAGAGGTACATGTATAGATGAAATAAATTGCGAGCAGATTAGAAAAATATCAAAGTTTGAAATGCACCTTTGAAGTTGACCATGTAATGATATAATTTAAAATCAGGCCATAAGGCAATATAAGTCACCAGAGTATAATATAATCGTTTAAATAATGTTTTGTATAATCAATAACACAAAAGGTATCGAAACAAAAAGTACCCCTGGGAATTAATTGATTTTTTGTTGTTTTACGTCCAGGTCGAGACTTTTCAATTCGTATAGAAACCTCACACTATTCGGTGAAAGGTTTCCAAGTTAGACATTTACATAACATTCAGGGATATTACGCAGTGAGGGTTCCTCATATTGCCAACGCCTACCGTGAAAGATTTTGGGACTTAATTTTAGGGTCTCGGTCACATGACCCACAACTTTCACTTCAAAGTACCGAGTACAAGACGATGGCATTAATTGATATCTTCCTATGAAAATTCAAGGCAACCAGTAAGAAAAAAGGTAAATAAAGTCGTAAATTTCCAGAGATGTGCCTTCTGTTCTGATGAGCAATAATTGTAGTTGTGAACGTGCATTAGAATGCTATTCAGTTTGACATATTTTTATTTACACTTGCTGTGTATTAATACAAAAAGAAAATGCATAATACATGAGAGTGTTCTTCCTAAATTGTTATAAAAAAAACATTCTGGGAATATTGCACTCCTAATAGTATTACCCTACCGGCAATGTAATCTGGTTCCCATTTTTATTGAAAATGTTACATGTACAATCCTATAAAACTCATTGAACCAGAACGAAATACAAATATGGTCTATAACTCATCAAAGAAAAATCAAGAATACCCGACCATGAAGCAGAACATCCGTCTTCTAGAAATATTGAACAAAATGGTTGTTGGCGCTTGAGAGTGTTAGCAATAGATAAAAAATTGTCTTTCGAGACTGTATCTCCACTGGTTTGTACTTATAATAAAGAAAAAGTAGCAGTTGAGTCTTAAAACTTTACAAAAGAATTAAATAAAATAATGATCCTTGATGAAGTCTCTTTTTGTGACAGGATGCAATAAGACGACAAATGTAGGAGTAGCTTTTAATAAAACTTTATAGATTTTTTTTTATTTTAGTTACCATGACAACATCATGAAATTGACATTAATCAAAATCAAAAACAATTATGTATCTTAGTGTAGTCTACTTGTATGCCAAACTATATTATAATCAGACTAAAATTGCATTTGGAGTAGTATTTTGAAATTATTTCACAGAAATGTCTATTTTAGTAACCAAGGCAACGTCGTTCATCTTAATCAAAATACGCACACACCTTGAATTATATATCTTAAATAAGTCTACTGGTGTGCCAAGTTATAATATTTACATTTTTATTTAATTGTCTTTTACAATCCTTACAAATTAAAATTTTGTTCATTTCTCACGAAAATTTATGGATTAGTCTGAATACATCCACTATTACGTCAAAGTATCTTACTTGACGTCAAAACTTTTGTGCAATTTGTATTGCTTTAAAAATAATAGTTGAATGGCGTAATTGGCTGTAACCCATATAATATAAATAAAAGAAATGCATGAGGTACATGTAGATGAACTACAACGCTTCGTGAAGTGTCGTAGTTCATGTCGTAATAAATCTTCAGAATTAAATTCATTTTTTGATTCAAATCAGACGAAAACTGTAGGAGGAGTAGCATTTAAAAAGTATTTCACAGAAATTTCTATTTTAAGTAACAATGTATGGCAACTCCTATCATTGAAATCAAAAACCGATAAAACAGATTATGTATCTTAGAATAGTCAACTTGTGTGCCAAGTTATATTAAAACAAGACCAAAACTGTAAAAGAAGTAACATTTTAAAAGCATTTCACAGAATTTTCTATTTTTAGTAACTACGCAAGAAGTTCATCAAAAACCGATACAGAGAATTAAGCTATTGTAGTCTACGTGTGTGCCAAGTTATATAATAATCATGGAAAAAGCTAATACCATTAATACCATGCTTGAAGAAAGTGTATTCCACGTACCTTCTCTTCTGTAATAGATTGTCACACTTTTTATGCTGAATGGTTTTCCAAGATCCACTTGAAACCAAGCCCTTGCATCAGTAATTGAAGGATCAGTATGAGCACAATATTGTTCTGTGGTCCTTCTATTACCATCATTTGCCCGTGATGCAATGTTGTCAGCATATGTAGAACTTTGGGCGAGTGTTGTTGTTTTTCCTCTACACAGATTTTCTGTAACAATTTTGTAGCAAACAAGTGACTTTCTTGAGGACATGTATATTTTGTACAGTATATCAAAGGTATAAAGCTGCTATAATGCATACAATTTTTCCATTAAGATGACTGATAAAACCAAAAAAATCTTTCATATCAAATTACAGTTGAACTTATTTCAGATATCTAAATGAAAAATATGGCGAATGTATTTATGCCTTCTTTAAAATCATTTATTATTTCCTAATTTGTTTTTACTACATAGGAATTTTCCTTTTAAAATTACAATTCTGAAATTGCATTGTCTTCATTTTTTTTCAATTTGAATTAAAAAATAATTGATGACACGAATAGGAATATTTAATTTATCATTTTGTAATTTTGTTTATTGTATAGGAATGTCCTGTCTAAATTAAAAAAAGAAAACACAGAAAGGTTAAACACAGAAGAAATACAGACTACCGACTGCTCGCCTATAAGTTGGTTGTATTTTTCACCAGAATCAGATGACTATTTTAAATTAATGTTCCGATTTTTTAGCCTGGTTTTAATTTTATTTTAGAAATGACCATAATATTTCAAATCATTTAACAAATCAGTAATGAAAGTTAGGACAAGTAATAAAATTGTAATAATAACATGTATGTAAATACTAGTACTTCTACTTTATGTAAGGTATTGGAGTGCATAAATAATATTGATATATCAAGACTTTGTTCAATGATTATCGACTGAAATGTTTATAAAATATTACACTTTGTTTTAAAAAAAAAATACTTATTATTTTGTGATTATTTTTAGTTTTGCACGGAAATTATACTACAAATCGATTTATAGGCGAGTATATACGGAATTTTTATTGCTGAAATATTCCGTCTGTCAACAAAATTTTGTCGAAATACTGTACATCTCAAAAATGGATTATGTTTGTAATTGATTGAATTTTATCTTTCGAAGTATACAGAATTTGAATAAATTCTGGTTGTACTGAAGTTTGTGTATAATTTAAGATATGTGTATATAAAAATACCATTTTTAATCATTTGATTTTCACATATTTTACAGCCGACAATTGGTACCCTACGAAAAGAGTCCCATACCTTTATTATTTTAAAAACCATTTTAAACAGTCGAATTAAAGCGATTTAAAGGCCTATTGGTAAAACCAATACAATTATATTTTGACTGTTACATAATCCGAAAAACCATACACGGGGGTGGGGGGGGGGGGTTCTATTCACAAGATTGTAAATGTATTTTTGTTTTGTTTCCCATATACTGTCATTCACTTTAAAGGAATTGTTGAAATTCAATTTTCTATGACTAAGTATACAAAACTAATTAGTATCAAGATGGATCTGTGTACTGTCCCAGAAACAGCAGTATAACCATTTATTGTAAATAATGTGTCGTAAAAACCTGAAAAAGTACAAAATAAAATTTCAAGAAATGTTTTCAACTTAAGGATAAATAACACAAACAAACTTTTTTTCAGAAATCAGCATTATTTTTCATAGATTTACATTTGAATTTACAACATGAATAATGTTTACCAAGTAGAGTTGAAGAATTATATAAGATTTTGTGATAAGGTTAAAAAAAGTGCAAAATTTTGTATGGAATTATATAGAAGGCAAAACAAAATCTCATGTCTAAGCACCAAGGAAAACCTACGATTTCTTTATATTTCAGGGATTTATTATTTATGTCATTTCAAATCAAAATCAGTCAAAAAATATATATCTACCCGCGCATCCATTTTTTGTTTGTGGTAAGTACCCTTAAATACAAAATAATCTCAATCTTCTATACTTTTTTTCAGATCAAACAGGGGTTGATAACAATACAAAAATTACAAGATTTCTACTCAAATTATGTAATTTACAGTCATTAAATCTCTCACTTAAGCTATCAAAATATTTCAAAGTTTCATATAGGGTGAATTCATCATGCATCGGATACCCTTGTACTTCAGCAAGTTCTAGCGATATCGCTACCGACGGAAAATTATCAAAATGGAGTTTAACATTTAGTTTGTGATTAAAATATCAATTTGGGACACAATTATATGCCCTTTATTGAGAAAATATTCTCAAAAATCGAGTTTTTAGTGATAACTAAAAATGCAAAATGGATCGGACATTGTTTACCATGCATCGGACAAACGGTATTTTGACCAGAAAAATACCATACCTTTATCTTGGTGCTTTAAAATGCTTGTTGTGGATATATTTTTATCTTTTATCTAAGAAATAATCCTCAACTTAAATTTAATTGACGATATCGTTGCACAAATGTAGAACGATTCAAGAGACCTCAGTCTGCCTTAGAAATGCTTTAAAATGCTTATAATGCGGTAATTCGCGCCCTTTTTTCATGGTTTATCATACTCTGGTTTGTAGAAATAAATGAGTCAAATTCCAGACGTCATATATCGAGAACTTGAGTTTTGACTGAAAAAATAAAGTTTTTATTTAACGTTTCCACAAATACAGCTATCAGCTGGGTTCTGTATGAAAATGGTTGTACTTGCCATTACATGGATAAGTGTCCGATGCATGGTTAATTTGAGTCCGATGTAGGGAGAAATGAACATACTAGTGAAAACCAGCTTTATAAAGAATTATACGAACATTAAAGTGAAATTTCTTTAAAATTTATGTAAAATTACCAATCTTTGACTTTTTTTTACCATAGTCTGACTCGTTCCGTTGAAGTCGAATTTTAAGAACGATAACTCTAAAAATTGCAAAATCATTAATTCCTGGTCATTCCCCTTTGATGATGTAAAATATGACGTGACTTCAAGGCCATTCTCGGAGTTTTTTTTATCACAACATGATAATAACAATCCGTATCATTAAAAAAATTAAATCTTGAGCTTCTAGACAGAAACAAATAAATACACGGAACTCTTAAGTTGAAAGAGATTTTATTGTCTAAAGTTGTCCGAAGCAAGGTATGTGTCCGATGCATGGTGAAATCACCCTAAATGTACTTATGATAAAAGTTGGTAAAGTTTGGTTCAGCAGCCACGTGTTTACATGTATGGACGATAGAGCTTAATTTCCAAAAAATATGGAAAAAGGATTCACAGTATAACCAAGAAAGATAATGCATATCATTTTTCATCTAAACATAAATGCCTAAGACAAACAAATTATCACTTACACTGTAGTAGGCCACAATAAGCTTTGCGAAATGATATTATTAGAAAAATACATGTAACTGCCATACAGATTGTACCGACTAGTGTTTTTCGTTTTTATATAGATAATAATAAACATTATGAAAGTGAAAAAGTTTCAAATATACTATGCAGAAGAGTTTATTACAATGAATTAAATTGTTCAATTTATATTTTTCTTAAATAATTGAACACGCTATAACTTGCGCCAGTTAAAATAGGATTAATTTTTTTAGATTTATATATTTTGTTTATCAATAAAAGTTTTGAAAGAACTGTAAATTACACCATTAAAACCAAACGCGTAACAAAGTTATGAAATTATAATTATTTATATTCCTGCTAGAAGAGAAATGGCTATTTGTAAATAAATTTATCTCGTGACGCCGTCGCTTCTCTTAGATTGATAAACAAACACGGAGGGAAGAAAACAAGGTGGGCCGCTTGAGATACTACTCACTTTCGACGTGGCTTGCTAGCGTCTTACTCGTACTTATACTTATCTTTTAATGTACTCAGTATCAATTATCTACTCTGTTGTGATATATTAACCTTTTATCAATAATATTTGTCAAAATTCAACATACCCAGTTGTTTGTGATTTCTGGGTGGACATACGTGTCTATATATAGACCTACTGTTTACGCCTTTCTTCATCAATATTCGGGAAAAGACTGAATTCTTACCCGGTAATTGCCAGACATTGCTTAATTGTTTTGTTATTACAACGAAGTCTATGATAAAATTTTGTGAAAAGTATTATTTAACATTACACGTTATGTGTTTCAAATCATTTATCATTTTGTTTCACACAAAAATCGGCATCCATTTTTATTTCAATATTACAAAAGAAAAGGTGTTAACATCAAAGAATGCATTGAAACGATGTGTAATGTCAGAAAGAAAAAAAAATTATCCAATTTAAACTATAGCATTTCATTTGAAGAAAATAGCCAATCTCCTTTCAACAGTATCTTAGATTTGCATGGTTTTCTCCGAGACATACATGTCAGTTTTACAATGCTACCTCTTAGTAAAAAATATATGGAGTTCGCAGCTAGGATACGGCTGTCCGTAAAAAATCAAACTGTTGTGAAACGCTCCCCTTACACGTCCGTAGACAGAGTTTGAATTTATAAATCGTGTTGATATTGGAATGGTACATGTGATAGACACGGACAAATTGAAGATATTCTGTGTGAATCTGCAAGAGAAGTATGTCCTCTAACAGAATTTTGCTGGGGGATTGAGTGTAGTTTACCATTTTTGTATAATTCGTGATATAGAGTGGAAAATACCCCTTCTTATGTTGGTAAGATGAATTTCTCGTAAAATATTTTCTAAACGAGTAAAAATTAAACCTGCCCCCTGCACTTTTTATGTACCAGAGGTCACGATGAATTGATATGTGGAACAAACTTTGCACAATATTTTTGTTTTGCACTTGTGCCGAAGCGATTTTTGTGCAACAATTAGTAATATCATAAATCTCCATCACGTGATCATCACAGTCATTTGACTTCACAAAAATATTTTAAAATGAACCCTGATTAAACTACTAGTATAATCTTAAATTGACTGCCATTTCAAACAAGGATTACATATTAAAATTAAAATCTAGCTCAAACTAAGGCCACACCAATAAAATGTTTTGTTCGTCGGACCCGCACGCTCGTATTTAACCGAAACTAGAAAAATAATATTAATTCAAAATTTCCCGCACCATGGAAATTCTGAGCTATTTTCTGTCCCATTTCCGCTCTATTTATCGTACTTTTCATCTGCTTATCCTGCAAATCAGAAAAAATATAATTGTCCGCTCAAATATCTTCATGTTCCGCCTAAAATATTTGTCTACAAAAAGTAATAATATTATTATTTAACCGCCTGACCGCTCTTACTTTTTTTCATCAAATGTCCGACGAACAAGAAATTAAATTGGTGTGGCC